CGCTTCGCCTCGCGCGTGGGCAGCTCCGAAGGAACTTCACCGTCATGGCACTGAGCCGGGGAAGCCGGTGATGAGGCCCGTAGCTGGTTGCGGTGCCCGGAGCAGTGCCCCGGGGTCAGCGTGCTGCCCCCGGCCTGGCAGTGACTGCTCTGTCCCCATCCTGAGTGATGCTGCGCTGCGGGGAGGATTGTGCGATCCCTGGAGATGCTGCACGGGAGAGCCCGCTCCCCCTTCCACGGGGGCACCAGGGCACTGAGCTGGGGGATCTCGTGCTGGGGGTCCCAGCTTGCCTAACACCTCGCTTTGCTTTGCCTCACAGCCTGGAGCAGCTGGTCTCGCCTGTGGCCTCCCCGGCCGACAGCAGGCCGGACCCATGTGCAAGAGAGACTGTGCTGAGTGCCATCAGTAAGAGCAGGAAGAGGGCTGTGGAGCAGCAGGAGGAGGAGGAGGAGGACCAGGCTTTTGGGAACGATCAGGAGAGCAAGAGAAGGTAATGAGTTGGCTGCACAGGTCACTGCTGGCATGTTGGGAAGGTTGTAAATGGAGGTGGTGCTTCAGTGGTGACAAATGGGATGTGTCCCAGAGCACGTGGAGCCCAGTGCAACCAGGAGTGTGGGTTGGAAAAGTGCTGTGGGAATTGAACCGCAGAGAGGAAGCACACCCCATCGCCTGGCCCTCTGGGCTGTGTCAGAAAGTCCTCCAAGACTTCTTTTCGTCCTTGAGGTCAAAGGGATGTGGTTTAGGTTTTTGCCTGGGCAAGCTCGAGGGTCAGGCATGTTCCCCTGCATTGCTGGGGTTGGGAGAGGCTGGGATGTGGGTTGGGGAAGCTTGTCAGGCTTCCCTGACAGGGAAGCAGCTTCTGTCATCATGGGGGTTTGCAGACTGGGGAGACATGGTGGGAAATGCTGGTATCTGCTCTAGGCTCATCATCTCTATCCTTCACTCAGTCCCAGTCTTCTAGGAGAGGTGGGATTCCCAAGTCTTACAGCCCCAGGTGGAAGTTTCATGGTTTAATAGGATCTAGGTGCTTTCTTTGTGCGCTGTAGCTAGCAATAGGAGATAAAAACACAAGAGTAAACAAGAGAGGCTGTTTTCTGCTTTTGTTAGTCAAGGTCAGCGGTTTCCAGCTCAAGAAACGAAGGTGCAATGTCTTTGCCAGCGCTCTGGGAAGGACAAGGCATAAATCCTGGATGCTGAGGTCTGCCGAAGCCTTTCTAAGCACCTGGGCACAGCCCTGCCTCGCCGTTCTCCCTTCCTGTTTTTCGTCCTTCCCGCTTGTGTGCGTGGAGGCCGTTTGCCTCGGGGCTGTCTGCCTGGGCTCAAGCAGGGGAACTGGGAGACTGTGGAAGAGCAGCTCGGGCGGTGCCTGGGCGCTTTGCCCTGTGTGCTGTGCTGGGGCTGCTGGTAGAGGTGGCCCTGAGAGCGCAGCGGGATGAGTGGCCGCTTGCAGGGAGCCACCGGCCGCCTTCCTGCTGTGGCAGGACACACCATCCTCTGCTCCATCGCTGGATTTCCCTCTGCAAAGTTTCTGAGTCCTTGCCTCGGCTTGGTGAATCCAAGCCTCACAAGAGCTAAGCAGGATGACAACAGGATGGGTGCACAGACAGGATCGGCTTGGTTTTTTTCTTTATTCTGTTTTTTTAACGTGCCAATGCCCAGCTTTGCCACGAAAGCCAATTGTGAAGGCATTTATGAGCCTGGCAAGCATGAAGAATGCTTGTAGGCAGAAAATCGCGTGACCTTTGAGGGCAGAAGGGAGCCTGCATCAGCTGGAGAACGCTGGATCGCATGTGCACCTCCAGCTCTGCTTCACAGCAGGATTTGCTTTAAGACTTTCAGACTTCGGATCTGCACTGAATCCTTGTGGGAAGGGGGATTCAGTTTCTGACTCAAACAGTCCAGGGCACTGGTTAGGAAGAGGTTGGAGATAGAAGCTTCAGAGCTCAGGTCTGTTCCAGAAATGAGCTGCTGAGTCTCTTCAAAGTATTTTGGCTTAGAATAATGGATTCAAGCAAAGATTTTTTTTTTTTTTTTACATCAAAACTCCTTTGCCCAGCAGGCAGCTGCTAGAGCTGCTGGTGCTTGGGAGGAGGCAGCTGGGGTGAGAGTCAGTACAGGACCAGACGAAGAGAAAATCTGTAGCGGGATGCGGATGGGGAATACTTCTGGGGTATTGGGTGGCAAGAAAGAAGCAGGGTTTGTGCTTTCCCAGTGCCAAGCTCGCCTAGAAGGGATCTTC